TCTTCTCCTTACTGCTGGAGAACCGTTAAAGGTGACGTTATTGACTGTGGTATGTACAGTGTCCTTTCTTAATATTTCTGGCTCTCGGTGTTCTGGTTAAGTCAGACGATTTATTTGTTTTTTTTATGTTCTGTGTGTTGGTTTTTTGTTTCAACACATTTTTGTTTTTCTTGTGTGGTTTGTTTGTTTTTTGTGTCTGTTGTTGTGAACATGCTGTTTTGCAGTTGGTTTGGGATTGTATTTGTATTTTGCTTTGGTGTGTTTGGATTTGGTGTTTTTGGGTAGTGTGTGGGGGGTGAGTGTTTGGTTGTTTAGGGGGAGGCTGGGGTGGTTGGGGGGGTGGGTGGGGGGGTGTTTGGGAGTTGGTGAGTGTGTTGTGTGGGTGTGTGTGTTGTGTGGGTGTTCGGTGGGTTGGTGGGTGTGTGTCGGTGTTGTTGTGAGCGTGTTGTTTTTGGTTGTGTTTGCGGTTCTTCTGTTTTTGTTGTCGGGTTCTTGTGTTGTCGTTGCGTGTCTTGCGCGTGACCTCTATGTTTGTTTGGGGTTGCTTTTGGTCGCCCACGATCTGTAGGTAGAGTTTAGGAGAGAAGAGAGAGAATTAGAAGGACACTTAAGCCAAAGGAAAAACGTAAAACCTTTTACGGTTCCCCAGCCATAAGGAGAAAGTATTAGTTTTTTACTGGAGTAAAATACTAAGATTCACATAAACCATAACTCTACAGTAAAAGTCCTGCATGGAATGTACTGAAATTAAGTATAAAAGTAAGAATCAGATATGATGTACTTTAAATATTAATAAGTAAAATGATTCATATGCAAAAATTGTCCCTTAAGTGTTAAACAAATAATAAAAATGTAATTATTTAATAGTCATGTTTTAAAGGTTAAATTCCTGATTGTAAATAATCTGTCAAATAAATGAGTGGAAGTGGAGATACCTCAGAATTTATTAAGTAATAAAGCTCGTCGTGTAAAAAGGGTTACTTGCGTCATACTTACCGATCTTTATCACCAGTGAGCGTGACGATGGACTAGGAGGAGACTCTTCAGAGCTCGTTGTACTAGGTGGAGAGTAAGAGATGGAGGACTGAGGAGACACGAAGGGAAGAAACCGTTCTGTGTTCACTTGCCTGTTTTTAGTTTTAACAGAATGCAGTCCCTCCTATGTGGCTCCAGTGATACCTGCTAAAACTGTCCAATCTCCACGACCCTCCCAAACCTGGAAAGAGACGAGGACGAAGAGAGTTTTAAAAATCTGTGTTTAATCTACACAACTGTTATTGAGTGTGTTGTGTGGTGTTGTGTGTTGTTGGTGTGTTGTACCTGACAGTTTGGAAGGGTCAGGTATTTCATCTCTGAGCTGTGGTTTCGGAGCCAGAGGCAGTGGGACTCCAGGTATTAGCTGTCCTTCATCCTTTTGGCCGGAGGTCATTCGTTTTGAGACTTTCGCCAACATGGACGACAGCGACAACTCGTCTCCGCCATGGCCTGCTGGTGATCACTGACACACAACCAATCATTGGAGATTAAATATACAAATTATTACACATTTTTGGTATTTGAGGCTGTATTAGTACTAAATCGACACAGATTTGTTTGTCAGAAGTCATTGTTTACAGATAGTTTCCTGATTTAGGTTTATATCTGGATTTAATAACAACAACGCCATATACAACCTGTAAAAAAGGGGCAAAGTTACAAGAAACCTCAAAAGAGGTTTCGATTGCGCAGACTGAGAAGGCTAATACCTTCATTTTTGACAATTTTAATAATTGGACCTCTTATGTGAAGAACAATTTGTACAAAAAACACGTAATAATTGTCAAAAGTGCAGATAAATAACTCTGAAGTCAAAATGTACTTGAGTAAAATGCAAGCATTTGTTAATATAAAAGACTGATGGCTTCCCTTTTCAAAGTGTACATATCGACTGCTCTCATAAAATATAAGCATATATATAGTTTTTATATATAGAAACAACTGTAATGTCAAATAAATGAGTAAGAAGTACAATATTTCTATATTTATTATTCAGTGCTGTTATTAGACACAGTAACAAGACGACCTCAGTGATCGCCAAAAGAAAATGAAACAAATATTATTGGTTTCTCCACTACCTCCAGATTAGTGGAAGCTCCCACGATTTCTCCTCAGCCTGTTTCGAACTGAAAAACACAGAAGATACAATCAGCTCTCCTGTGTGTGTGTGTGTGTGTGTGTGTGTGTGTGTGTGGTGCACTAAAAGTTCAAGGCCATATGTTTCATACTGTCTCTGTTTCATCCAAAGCCGTGCAACAAACAAACAGACTGTTACACTTGTATGTTTACAGCTGGAGCCTTCAGGGAAAACAGTAATAATTAATGTAATGAAGCCAAAAGGTCGTAACTTACTTCTCAATCTCAGAGATCTTAAACACTCACGCTGAAATTTACCAAACTGGAGTGACCTGATGATGATTCTACAGTAAATTCATTCTTTCCTGAAGGCTGCAGCTTACTGAGGCCCAAACTGAGACAATGTGAAACAACACAGAGGAAAAGAAGCAGTCGAACGACGGCAACTACTGCATCAGGTGGGGAGTCGGCTGTAACAAAAGCCACAGAGGGAAGAAGAAGAAGGTTAAACAGACCACCAACGAAGAGGAGGTTTAGCTCTAACTGTGGAGCAGGAGGAGAAATCCAGCCGACGTGAACATTAAATCCAGACCTCCACAAAGGGCGGGGAACATTAAAAAGCTGCTGTGCATGAAGTGTAAAAGAGAAGGGATGTGAGGAAACATGCAGGAGGAAATTAACGTGCAAATTAGAGCAAATTAGAGGAGTTTTAATAGAGGTAGGAGTAGTGTGTGTAAGACGGTTAGGATTGGTCAAGGATTTGTTCAACACACACCATTTGACACGTGTAAAAGTGGATTTCCTGCGGAGAAACAAAAACAATTAAAGTCTCCTTCCAGTCCTTTCTTGTTCCTACAGCTGGAGGGTTTGAACTTCACCTGAGCACGAGTCGATACTAAAACATCGTTTCATCCTCTCAAAGTGGAAAAGTTTCTCTGTGCTCATTAAAAGTCTGATATTAATGAGCAGGATTCCTACATTTATACAAGTGTGATGTAGAAGCCAGTGCACAAACACTGAGAGTGGACTTCGACTTCTAAGTGTTCATGTACGTTCATCAAAATCCAGCCAGTGAAGAGCAGTTGTTTCTGATCTATAAGAGTGAATGTGTGCATTGATTAATACGTCTATAACAGATCTGTGCCAGGTGGGGGGGGGTCAGACAGGAAGCAGGGTTGCAGTCTTACCTTCCACCATGTCCGGCGCCTTGCCGTGCATCAACACGCCCCCTGTGCGGAAAGACCTGGTGGTCAAGGACGCGGCCGACCGCAGCAGCAGGAACCTGAAGGCCACACGAGGACGTGATAAACAAAAACAAACCCTGAGAGTCGAACCTGAAGGCCACAACGAGTTCAGTTTCACCCCAACATGCTTTAAATCTAATTATAACCATCCAAAGGCATCGGAGCTGTTTTTAATCCGGCCCGGCTGCCTCACACTGAACAGCTGAGCAGACAGACTGAGAGATGTGTTTAGATTATAAACCAGAGGAAAGTAACAAAGCAGTTATTTAAAGAGAAAAACACTTTATTTATATATTTATATATTTAGTTTATCGTCTTTTCATGCAATTATTCTGTATTGATTTTAACATTGGACTGGGAAACTGTGCTTCCAAATCTACCACTCCCTTTCTCAAGATATTATATCATATTTGTCCAAAGAAGAAGTCGCTTTGGAGTTTAAATTATGTATAAACTGTCAGGAGATGACGACAAACATAATACATAAAGTAATCTCTTCTATTAACAGAACCACAATCTATTTAACTGTATGTATATTTCATTTATTGTTACATTGCTGCCTTTGGATTAACAAAGATTAACAAAAACATGACCGAAAGTTATCGGTTCCCTCTCTAATGTAGATAAATACACCAGAGAAACACATTAATCTGACAGCTAAAGATTTTACATTTCATATAAGTTTAACTCACATTTAAGACTTTAAACTCCATATTTCTTTCCTTTAAAGTATGAGTTAGTTTGCCCTGCTACAATAACCTTTAATACTGTATATATATTATATTATAGTGTCTGTTTCTGTGGTATGAACATGACACACCCTGAATGTACACAATGCCCACCCTGCCTCAGGAAATACTCAGATATATTCATTTATCTATTGAAAAAAACCCACAAACAGCCAGAACAGCAGCTCCACTCACTGACACAAGCAGTTTACAGGATGTTTGATCATTCCTATATTTAATTATCTGTCTTATAACCCTTATAATCTTTTCTTCTGTGACTCCGTGTTAACGCCACTGACCTCTGAGAGAGCATTGTAGTGTCCGCGGTGTCGCCGTTAAAGTGTCCGGGCTGCAAACAAACCTGGTGAGTTAATTAAAAAGAGATTAAATCACAAAATTAATGTTTTTACTCTTTTTAAAGGAAAGTGTGGCGGCGAGGACGACTTCCGGGCTGGTACTCGGTCCCGCCCACTGCGTCATGACGTCAGACGTTACGTTCTGACGCTGTGGGGTTCTTTAGACCCTGCGTAAAGACTGACAGGGACTTTAATTATTCCAGATGTGGAAACACAGACAGACTGGGCTGTGGTTCAGAGACCGTTTGTATTTTGTGATGAAGAGTTTCAGCTATCTTTCCACTGTAAATACTGATTATTATATACATATATTATATTTATATTATATATTTAGAGCTGTCTTAAATGCTGCCTCCGTTATATGTAAGGTCCCAGTTTTTATGGCAGAATCTGATGGGTCACAGAGAGGCCACTGCAAATATATGACTTGCAATAAAAGAATACTGACAAGATCTAAGAGTGCACTGAAAAAGAGACATTATACTGGTATATTAAATCATTTATAATCATTTATCAACATTTTATAGATCAGTTATAAGCCTTAAACTTAAAATAAAACTTGAATTTCCCTCGGGATAAATAAAGTATCTCTCTCTCTCTCTCTCTCTCTCTCTATCTATTTATCTATCTATCT